CCTCTCACCTCCTCACAGGGTTCCTGGCCCTGGCTGTTCCCACTGGCACCTACCACCCACTCCAGCCCACTCTCCACTCCCTGAAACACACGCACACCGTTTGTCTGATCCCCAGGAAAGCCTTAAAATAAACAGGTGATGAATGTTTATAGAAAATGTGGTATCAATTAGCTGGGCATGGTGGCACACACTTGTAGTCCCAGCTACTTGGGAGGCTGAGGCATGAGAGTCGCTTGAGCCCAGGAGGCAGAGCTTGCAGTGAGCTGAGATCACACCACTGCACTCCATCCAGCCTGGGTGACAGGGGGACTCCATCTCAAAATAAAAGAAAGAAAATGTGGTGTGCACATCTGACGAATACCACTCAGCCGAGAGACACAGGTGCTCCTGCCATTTGTGGCCTGGATGAAACTTGAGGACACCACGCTAAGTGAAATAAGCCAGGCACAGAAAAACGAGTACTGCACAATTCCACTTCTATGAGGTGTTGAAAATAGTCAAATTACAACAATAAAGACCGGAAGGGGGGCTTCCAGGGCTAGGGAAGGGAAGTGGGAGGCTCTCAACAGAGGAAAAGTTTCCGTTAATGTTAAGTGAGAGGAATAACCTCCAGAAATCTGCTACTCTGTGCTGAACCTGTACTAACCATCAAGGGTCACTGACACTTTAAGTGTCGTACACTTAAAATTTAAGAGGATTTATCTCATGTTAAGTGTTCTTATCATGATAAAAAAAAATTGAAGACGAAAAAGCAAGCTCATCCGGAATGGTTCATAAAGGATTAAAATCAACCCAAATACCTTATAAGGAATTGATTAAAGAAACAATTGAATAGTATAAAAATGCTCACAAATATGACATTTTTAAAAAGCAGGATATAAAATGATTATAACATGATCCAAACTGTGTATGTGGCTGGGGGAGTTTGCAAACCCATCCGTGGTCAGGAGGTCAGCAGGCAGCCGGCAGATGTCTAGATACGGAGCGAAGGGAGGGCCCTGTCTTGGTCAGCACGTCCCCATCACAATATGCCACAGACCAGGTAGCCTAAACAAGACATTTCTCACAGTTCTGGAGCTGGAAGTCTGAGGCCAAGGAGCCAGCGGTTTGGTTCCTGGTGAGGGTCCTTCCTGGCTCACAGAGCTGCCTCTGTGCCCTGTGGAGACAGCTCTATCCCGTGTCCCTTCTTGTAAGGGCACCCATCCCGTCCCGGGGGCCCACCCTACAACCTCATCTCACCCCACCACCTCCCAAAGGGCCCACCCCCCAATACCATTACATTGGGGGTCAGAGTGCAACCTATGAACCTGGGGGACACAATTTGATCTACGGCACACCTAATGACTTACAGAAGTCACCTGGGCAGGTATTAGTTATGAGTACTGATTGTCTTCACCCCAGTCTTCTGAAATTTTAGAACTTTTATAAATAAAACAAAAGAAGCACAAGGTTGTGAAGGAGCCCGTGCTTAGTGTCATGGCAAAGACTTGGGGAGCAGTGACACCTCCACGCACAGCATGACTTGCACAGAGGCGTCCCAGCATGTGGGGCGTGGAGGCAGGAGCATCCCAGAGAGGCTGTGAGAGCCAAGTCGATGCAGCAGCTGGAGGCCGAGGGAGGGGGCCAGAAATGAAGCTCCCCCCATCTTCAAGACCTTTGCTGGATGCTGCTGTAGGGAATGGGGGACCAGCCAGATTTTCAGACCTTGCCGGCTTGACAGCCCAGCACTATGGGGGGAGTAGGGGTGGCCTCAAACCAAGGGTCACCTCTCCAGAGTGCACAGATGTGCTGCTGTGCTAAGAGACCTCTGCCGGGGAAGCCAGTGAGCCAAAGGCAGGTGACATGCAGCAGGAAGTACTGGCAGGTGTGGAGGACCAGGCCTCACAGCTGTGCAGGGACCATGCTGTCCAGGGCCATGGGAGAAAGGGTCTAGCCCCTGGCCTTACTGGGAAAGGGTGGGTGGCCTGGCTGAGACTGTTCCGCTTGGGGGTTGTGGGTATGGGGGGTGTCAAAACCCGAGGGGGCAAGGCGGGACAGACAGGGGCCTGGTATGGGATCAGGGCCCAAGCTGAGGTGACTTTAAGTTCTTGAATCACAACTAAGAGACAGGTCCTGGCTGGGCACGGTGGCTCATGCTCATAATCCCAGCCATCTGGGAGGCCAAGGCAGGAGGATCACTTGAGATCAGGAGTTCAAGACCAGCCTGGGCAACATAGCAAGATCTTGTCTCTTTATTTTATTTTTTTTTTTTTGAGACGGAGTCTCGCTCTGTCACCCAGGCTGGAGTGCAGTGGCGCAATTTCGGCTCACTGCAAGCTCCGCCTCCCGGGTTCACACCATTCTCCTGCCTCCGCCTCCCGAGTAGCTGGGACTACAGGCGCGCACTACCACGCCCGGCTAATTTTTTGTATTTTTAGTAGAGATGGGGTTTCACCGTGTTAGCCAGGATTGTCTCCATCTCCTGACCTCGTGATCCGCCCGCCTCGGCCTCCCAAAGTGCTGGGATTATAGGCGTGAGCCACCGTACCTGGCCAAGATCTTGTCTCTTTAAAAAAAATTTTTTTTAAATATTTTTTAAAATGAGACACAGGTCCGAACGCTGATTTTGCAACTCCGAGCTCCTTAGTTCTGGTGGTTTCAGGTGATGTCTGCACCACCCCCCCTTGCTGAACTGCATGCTCCTTGATGGTGTGGCCTCATGACGGGCATCGCTGGTGCTCAGACACATGTGCTGCTGGGTGAAGGGTGCGGCCCCCACCTGCCTTTGCAGCTCTTCCCAGCCCATCCCGGGCTTCTCCGGAGCCCCTGCAGCCCAGCTCTTGTACCCTAACAGGGGGACACCCACACACCATAACACAGATAAAGAATTGGAACAGAGCCTGCCATACATACAGCAAGTACATTTATGATGGCTGGTTTTTGTTTTTTTGTTTGTTTTTTGGATACAGAGTCTCATTCTGTTGCCCAGGCTGGAGTGCAGTGGCGCGATCTCAGCTCATTGCAACTTCTTGCCTCCTGGGTTCAAGCGATTCTCCTGCCTCAGCATCCCAAGGAGCTGGGATTACAGAGGCACCAGGCCCAGCTAACTTTTATATTTTTAGTAGAGATGGGGTTTCACTATGTTGGCCAAGCTGGTCTAGAACTCCTGATCCACTCACCTGGGCCTCCCAAAGTGCTGGGATTCCAGGCGTGAGCCACCACACCTGGCCATGGTTGACTATTTTGATCATCGCTATTTCCTTTGTGTCATCTTTTTTAAAAAATTAGTTTATTGTTATGCCATTTTCCACAAACTCCTAGATCTTGCAAAAGTGTCATGGACGCATACTTGTGGGACCAAACCCGAGAACCTGGAACCTGCTGACCATGAGCTGCCTGCCGTGGAGGTTGCGTCCTGCATGTGGGCTCCCCTCAGGGCACCTGAAGTGTGAGAAACACTGACTGCAGGGCACGCTGGTAACAGCTTCTTTTGGGGCATCTGAACTGAACCTACCACCCATCCTCTTCATCTTTCCCTTTCAAAATATGGGTTTTGGTGGCTATCATTGGAAATTGATAATAAAAGCCAGAATCATGCCTGGGCAGATATTTTCAATATAAATAATGTCCTAAAACAGTAAGCTTGTCCGTGGACAGATCAATCTGCTTGAAAAAATCCTACTTAAAACTGAAACTATATCCTCAGTGAACTCCCAACTATAACTTGTTACCGAAGTTCCCTCTTGCCAGCCATATTCTTGTAGTAGAAAGCTGACCAGGCCAGATAAGGAGTGAGATGCGCGGCTTCTTCCAGATTTGTGGCAAAGGCTGCCATCGACTCCAGGCCAATTGGTACCCTTGTTCTCTACAGCCCCAGAGCAGCCCTGGACCAGGCCCGGGGAGGGCAGGGGCAGGGGGAAGCCTGTGCTATGGCCCAGGCACTGAAGCCCAAACCAGACATGTACTGGGCCAAGCTCTTCCTCCTGAAAGGGCCGCAGGGTGCCTGCCCGCCTTCCACTGAGCCTCCTAGAGACGCTCCGCCCTCCCTACTCCGAGTTTACTTACTAGGGGGTCAGCAGGGCAGCCCGACTTGCCCTTTACCTGGGGGAGGGAATCCGGCCCCAGCTGCCAAAGCCAGCACACTTCACTACCCAATCCAGCAGGGGTCTTTTGACCCCTGCGTTTAATCCTCAGCCCCTGCAGACACACGACCGGGCACTTTCTCTGCCTGCCACCCACCCGCCGGTGGAGGCAGGCTTCCCCAGCACCTACGGGCTCCCTGGCTCCCTCCATGACAACGGATTTCCTACGGTTCTGCAAGCGAATCCCAGGTCTGCGCGTCACCACCCCATTTCTTACATTTGCAGACAGCTTGCCTGGGAGAGCCTCCGGTGCATTCCAGCACCGCACCAAGAAAACAGCCAGACAGACCTCAGACGGGGGCAGAAGGGAACCGCTCCAACTCCCAGCTGCTTTCCACGAGAGGCAAGGTCACGGGGACACGCAGAGGATATTTTCTAGGAAAACTGTCCGGGCCGGCACCTCCTCCCGACCCCAACCAAAACCTTTATTCTCTGGCTTCCTGTATCATCAGCATCCCACGGCCACGCTGGCCATCCCTGGAACGGGGGCTGTGAAATTTAAAAGCCAGACACCAAGATAAAAATAATCGCACGACGCCACTTCCCGCAGGAGGCACAGTCGGAGACGCGGAGATGCGGGTCGCCAGCCCCGGCCCCGCACCTGCGCGAGCCCCACCCAGCGGCCGCGTCACCGCCAGCCCCGCGGCCTGTGCAGGGCAGGGGGTGCCGTGGAGAGGACCTGCCGGTCGGGGGCCGCCGGGAGAGGCAGGGAGGACCCCGCCCCAGACAGGGGCGTCTCTGCCGCGGGACCCCCGCCCTCGGGACGTCGCCCCCGGCCCGCCCCACGCCGCGCAGGGCGCCTGGATCCCGGACGCACCGTGCCAGGCGCAGCGCAGAGGCCCGGCCCCGTGTCCCGGTCCCGCCCCGGCCGCTGCTCACCGAGGCTCCCCGCGAGCGACTCTGGGCGGCGTCCGACGGCCTCGATCGGCCATGGCAGAGGCGGCGGGCGGGGGCGCGCGTCACCGTCACCGCGAGCAGGAGCCCCGAACCCGGCCCGCCCCGCCGCCCCTGCTCCCGGGCGCTCCCCGCGGCCGCGCTCCTTGCTCGGTGACAGCCCCCGCCGCGATCCTCCCCCACGCAGTCCCGGTCTCCGCGGAGCCGCCGTGCAGGCTCCTAAAACAGGGCTCGGCGTGGCTGAAAATAGCCCGGGGGCCGCGGGGCGCGTGTGGGGAGCTGGGACCCGGCCCGGCTCAGGTGACTGGCACCGGGCGCTGCGGCCTGAGAGGGACTCACCAGCGCTCAGGCCGATCCCAGCGCCATGCGCAGCACGGGGGAGCTGCACGCGTGCGGCCTCACCCTTAACTCTTGGCGTCCCATCCCCGAACGCTGCCTCCCCTGGCCTGTTGCGAGAGAAATGCTTTTTGGAGTCTGGCATTGAGCAAATGAAGCGGCTGCTGCGGTTTGAGATGCACAATCTCTGCTCTTCGCCGGGGCCTGGGATCGCAGCTCACCACGGCCCGTGCTTCTGGGCTGGGACTTCAGGGTAAAGCGAGAGGAAGGCCCGCACCCACTTGTTGGTGTTCAGACCACATATAATCTCCATCCACGCCACCACGGCCACACCGATGGGCGCTTTGTGAAAGGGTGGGATGGAGCAGCAGAGCTGGCGACCTCTGCAGAGCTGGGAACTCCCTGAACACCCCCCTCCCCGACACACCACCACCACCGAGCTTGCAGGTGCAGGAGCAGCCCTGGGGAGCACGCACGTGGAGCACAAGAGCCCCCTCCACACGGTCTGTCGGTCCACATACCTCCTCAACCCCAATCCTCCAAACCTGTGCCTTCTAAGTCCCTGATCATCAACTGGCCCTCCAGGTAAAGGAGAGGATAATCAGGTGTGAGGCTTGAAGTTTGGCCAGCTGCATGGAATTCCTTTCCACCCCGTCCCTCAGGGCCAGCTGGAGTAGGGCTGTGATGCCGAGTCCCACCCGCCACGCCAGCCTAGTATGCAGAACCATCTGTACACCAGGCTCCATTTTTCATTTCTCAACTTGTTTTAGGGAACTCCCCATAAAACGAAAAATGCAGGTGGAGGAAGGAGGATTGCAGAGGGAGTGGGTGCCTTCGGAGGGCGAGCCTCCTGCTCATGTGACTTTCGGGGTGTCTCGGATATGCTTGAGGACAGCCTCGTGTCAGTCCGTTGGGGCTGTCGTAATGGAAGTGTATTTCTCATGGCCCTAGGGGCTGGAAGTCCAAGACCAAGGTGCTTATGTGGTTGGTTTCTGCTGAGGCCTCTCTCCTTGCCTCGCAGATAGCCGCCTTCTCCGTGGGTCCTCACGTGGTCTCTCCTGTGTGTGCTCACGTCTGGTGTCACACCTTTTCTTATGGACACCAGTCCCATTGGGTCAGGACCTACCCTGATGACCTCACCTAACCTTGATGGTTACTTCACTTCCTTAAAGGTCCTGTCTCCAAACGGGGGCTAGGCCTTCAAAATATGAATTTTTGGGGAACACCATTCAGTCCATAACAAACCTCACATGTACTGCCTCCATGTTTATAATAGTTTTGCTGGACAGGCCCGTCTCTATGGCTTGGTAACACCAGGTACTGACTGACAGCTTATGCTTCATGATCTCTTAGTGAACTGTTGTGAAATACACTGTCTACTCCACCCATGAGCAAGACAGCAGCTGTTTCTCAAAAGGGAATGGTGACCTGTTGATGAGACGGCCACTCAATAATACTCATCAATAACCATGATTGTGGTTGTCCTGTCAAGGTTTGCCACAGGCTCCACACAACATTCTTTTAGGAGATGGGGTCTTACTATATTGCCCAGGCTGGTCTTGAACTCTCTGCACTCAAGTGATCAACCTGCCTCAGCCTCCCCAAGTGCTGGGACTACAGGTGTGAGCCACCATGTGCCTGGCCCTCCATATAACATTCTTACATTCCGCAGACACTCAGATTGCCGTGGGTTTGCCACGTCATAGGGCTAAGTGGAAGAAAGCCTTGTCTGGCAGCCTAGTCAGCAGGCCAGCATTTCTCTTGCTCTGAACCTCACAGTTACTTGTTAAATAGGAAAGCACATCCAAATTTTGTATATATGGCCTCTGTATTAGTCCGTTCCCACACTGCAATAAAGAAATACCCAAGACTGGGTAATTTATAAAGAAAGGAGATTCAATGACTCACGGTTCCACATGGCTGGGGAGGCCGCAGGAAACCCGCAGTCACAGTGGAAGGGGAAGCTGGTGCGTCTCACATGGTGGCAGGTAAGAGAGAACAAAGCGGGAAGAGCCCCCCTTATAAAACCAGCAAATCTCGTGAGCACTCCCTCACTATCACGAGAACAGCATGGGGGAAAGCGCCCCCGTGATCCAATCACCTCCCACCAGGTCCTTCCCTCAACACCTGGGGATTACAACACAAGATGAGATTTGGGTGGGAACACAAAGCCTAACCACATCAGCCTCCAGTATTCAAAGAGGCTTTAATGGTGACACGTACAGGTTATGGCGACTGCCTCTCCCTTTCTTTGGAGGACTTTTCGGCAAATGTGTCACATAGGCCGGGCGGGAGGCTCACACCTGTAATCCCAGCACTTTGGGAGGCCGAGGCGGGAGGCTCACACCTGTAATCCCAGCACTTTGGGAGGCCGAGGCGGGAGGCTCACACCTGTAATCCCAGCACTTTGGGAGGCCGAGGCGGGTGGTTCACACCTGTAATCCCAGCACTTTGGGAGGCCGAGGCGGGTGGCTCACACCTATAATCCCAGCACTTTGGGAGGCCGAGGCGGGTGGATCACCTGAGGTCAGCAGTCCGTCCTCTGAACCCCGGAACGATGCTGAGGGGGGACTCGAACTTTCATGGCTGTCTTCTCCCCTCACCTGGCACCCACGTGCCTTCAGTCAGGTGTCCAGGGTACTTGATGCTTCCTGTTCATCAGGTCCTGTGGATGTGATGCTTGCAACACAGCTGATGAGTATCACTTGGTGGGGATGACAAAGGCCCCCCAGACTAAACTGTGGCACAGAACAGACCTGGTTACTGTTGAATCAAGACTGTGAAGGTGTACTGATGTCCCGAGAGTGTGAAAGTGAACTCTTCCTGGTGTTCCGTGATTGCTGGTACAGAGAAAATAAGATGCATTTGCCAGGTCTACAGCCACATACTAGATGCGGGAAGTGAACTGATTTGCTCCATTGTTTCAGTCAACATGCCCCATCTGCAGTAGCCATTCAATTGAGCTCACGACTTCACAAAGCTTAGGATAACTCACAGTCCTGCCCCATCATCCATCTGTTTCCACGTAGGCCAGAAAGTGAATTAAAGAAATCACCACCCACAGATGTTTTGAGATTTTGATGTGGCACTAATCTATGTGATTCTCCCCAGGTAGGCAACAGTGCTTTGGGTTTACTGTTGTGGTGCTGGGGAGGGTCCCACAGGATCCCAGGCACTTTCCACCTTACGGCCATCTTTCCAGCATCAGGGAGCACATCTGGGAATCCCACCCGTCACTGAATATTTCTGTCTATTCTGACTCTACTCTCAAAAGCAAGGGAACAATCACAGGCTAGAGTCATGGACTGGGCCCCCGTGACTCAGAGCAAAACTTGTGTTCATTCTGCTCGTTATAGACCCTTACTCTTGGTGGGCATGGTGACTCATACCTGTAATCCCAGCACTATGGGAGGCAGAGGTGGGCAGACCACCTGAGGTCAGGAGTTTGAGACCAGCCTGGGCAACATGGAAAAACCATGTCTCTACTAAAAATACAAAACTTAGCCAGGCATGGTGGCACGTGCCTGTAGTCCCAGCTACTTGGGAGACTGAGGCAGTAGAATTGCTTGGGAGGCGGAGGTTGCAGTGAGCTAAGATCGTGCCACTGCACTCCAGCCTGGGCAACAGACTAAGACTCTGTCTCAAATAAATAAATAAGTAAAGAAACCCTCACTCTGCCCAGCAGGTCACACTGAGTTCTGTTTCCTGGGGATCCGTGTTGGTTCCGAGTTAGTGTCTGGTCGTCTCCCACAGCTCTGAATATGCGCCTTTCCCCAGTGCCTGGTCTAGGGAACCTGGTTGCAGTTTCTTTAGGAAAAGCTGGAGGAACTTTCTAAAAACACGTGCTAGCATAGGATCCTTCCCCAGGGACATCAAACCTTTCCCTTACTGAAGGGACTGTGGGTCTGTGAACAGATTCAGGTCCTTGCGTGGACTGAGGGATTGTGGCTTCTACACAGTGACTGAAGGCTCTGGCTCTGTTTGCTTAACTTAGAGTTTGTTATTTCAATCAAATGTGTCAAATAGGCTGGGCACGGTGGCTCACGCTTGTAATCCCAGCACTTTAGGAGGCCGAGGTGGGTGGATCACCTGAGGTCAGGAGTTCAAGACCAGCCTGGCCAACATGGCAAAACCCTGTCTCTACTAAAAATACAAAAATTAGCTGGGCATGGTGGTACATGCCTGTAATCCCAGTTGCTCGGGAGGCTGAGGAAGGAGAATCACTTGAACCCGGGAGGTGGAGGTTGCAGTGAGCCGAGATCACACCACTGCCCTCCAGCCTGCGCGATGGGAGTGAGACTCCATCTCAGGAAAAAAAAAAAAAAAATTGTGTCAAACAGACCCTTAGCAGGCTTCCCATCTATTTCAGTCTTGGCAATTGCGCGGCCATTTACTACCACAAAACATTCCTGCGGGTCAAGCCGTTCTCATTACCACCCTCTTCTGACAATTAAGGCAACTTCACCTGTGTTGCTTTGGCAGTTAAGAGCTATTACCTGACCTCTGCCTCCGCAGGGTCCAACTCTCCATCGAAATCAGGAAGCCCATTTGCAGCAACCCGTCTACCTTGACCTCCAGAGACAGCCACTGAGGTGCCATCCAGGGATTCAGGCACCTGCCTCACCGATGGGTGTCTTATTGTCCTGGGGAGGGGGGTGCCTCTGTGCCCTCCAGGGGGAAATGGGGGTGGCAAGAAATGAATCCACCCCCTCAGCCAGGCACAGTAGTGGCACACACCCATAATCCCAACACTTTGGGAGGCCAAGGCAGGAGGACTGCTTGAACCCAGGAGGTCAAGGCTACAGTGAGCTATGATCATTCCACTGCACTCCAGCCTGGGTGTCAGAGCAAATCCCCACCACTATAAAAAAAGAAAAAAGAAAAAAAAATCGACCAGGCACAGTGGCTCACGCTTGTAATCCCAGCACTTCAGGAGGCTGAGGCAGGCAGATCACCTGAGGTCAGGAGTTCAAGACCAGCTTGGCCAACATGGCAAAACGCTGTCTCTACTAAAAATACAAAAATTAGCTGGGTGTGGTGGTGGGCGCCTGTAATCCCAGCTACCAGGGAGGCTGAGGCAGGGGAATTGCTTGAATCCAGAAGGTGGAGGTTGCAGTGAGCCAAGATCATACCACTGCACTCCAGCCTGGGTGATAGAGCGAGACTCCATCTCCAAAAACAACAAAAAAAATCCACTTCAATGCACTTGTGTCCCTAAGCATTCAGAGCCTTTCTTGTACATAAAGGAATCACTTGCCTCTCAAATGCTTTCCACTTAAGTTAGCACTGAGGTCAGATCCCACTGAAACAAATGTCCATTTGGAACTGCTCCCATTGCTGGAGTTGGCACGTTGAGTGCAGAATCTCTGCTTACTCACGAGTGAGCAAACCCGTGTCGAGAAAAATGTGCCCCAAATAACAGCACAGGAAAGAGGAAACAGCACCGAGTGGGTCGGCTGAGAAACAGATAAGCAGGATACATAAGTGGCCTCAAAGTGCCTCTTCCCAAGGTGCTTATTGACAGGAAATGGGGATATGGGATATTTACAGAGGGGAAACCTGGCAGGCACCAGTTTAACTGAGAAATTAACATTAACAACATCTGTAAGAGGGCAAGTAACTATGAGCCTCAAATGAGAACTGAGACACAATTTCGTTTCTGAGGTATTTCTGCCCAAATTCATACCACAAGCAAACATCTGAAGTTGAGGGACATTGCTGCAAAATAATCATAACCCAGCACTCAGAAGAATATCCAGATGCTGAAAAACAGGCTGAGGAGCTGCTCTGAATGAAAGGAAACTAAAGAGATGCCACAAAAAAGCCAACTCGCCATCCAGGAGTTTGTTTTCCTATAAAAACATTAGGAGAATGTGGGAAAATCTGCTTGGTTTTTTTTTTTTTTTTTTTTTTTTTTTGTGTTTTTTTTTGACAGCGTCTTGCTCTGTCCCCCAGGCTGAAGTGCAGCAGCACAATCACAGCTCACTGCAGCCTCAACCTCATGAGTTCAAGTGATCCTCCCACCTCAGCCTCCCAAGTAGCTGGGACTACAGGTGTGCACCACCATGTCCAGCTAATTTTTAAATTTGTTGTAGAGACAGGGTCTCCCTGTGTTGCCCAGGTTGGTCTTGAACTCCTGGGCTCCAGTGATCCTCCTGCCTTGGCCTCCCAAAGTGCTGGGATTACAGATGTGAGCCACTGTGCCCAGCCTAGAGGATGTGGGAAAATTTGATTAGCAAATGTTATCTCAATGTTAATTTCCTGATTTTAATAGCTATTCTGTGGTTATATAAGAACATCTCCTGGCCGGGCACGGTGGCTCGCGCCTGTAATCCCAGCACTTTGGGAGGCCAAGGCGGGCGGATCACAAGGTCAGGAGATCGAGACCATCCTGGTGAACACGGTGAAACCCCGTTTCTACTAAAAATACAAAAAAATTAGCTGGGCGTGGTGGCAGACTACAGGGTCGCAGCTATTCGAGAGGCTGAGGCAGGAGAATGGTGTGAACCTGGGAGGTGGAGGTTGCAGTGAGCCGAGATCGCGCCACTGCACTCCAGCCTGGGTGACAGAACCAGACTTTGTCTCAAAAAAAAAAAAAAAAAAAACTCCTTGTTTTTAGGAAATACACAATAAATTATTTGGGGAAAGAAGGCCTCATGTTTATACTCTACTTTCAAATGGTTATGAAAAAAAATTCTATGTACATAAAATGGTTTAAACACACATCTATACACAGGCATAAATACATAGTTATGAAGTAGATGTGGTAAGAATTTGAGGAATCTAAGTGAAGGCTATGTAATAATTCTTTGCCCTATCCTTGCAATCCCCTCGAAGTCTGGATCATATCAGATTACATTTTTTTTTTCAAGTTCTCATCCCTGTCTGTGGTCTGGCACCCTCAGAATCCATTGTCTCATAGGTTCCCCACAATTTTACCAAAATACATGATCAGCTCCTGCAGCCCCTCTGATGTGTGAGCTTCTCTGCCCAGGTTTGATTTTGTCATTGGTCCCCGCAGCAGGCTGGTCTCTAACCATCCTCCTGGCCCAGAACCACAGAGAAGGTAGAAGAGGGAACTGCCACCTTC